GCCAGGTTACCTCAAATTAGTTTATTTTTCTACAGGTTATGACAAGACATGTATATAGGGTTCTTTTTCATAAAGCTACAAGAAAATTAAAATTGATTTCCCTTTTTGCTTGTCTTTTCTTTTCAAATCAAATTTTGTAATTAATTTGATTTAAAAAAATGATTTTTGACCAAAGTTATTATTTAAATCAATTCATCAAATTAATACGTTTTTATTTTTTGAAGTTTTACGAAATTAGAATAAACGTGCTTCTCAATAACGTTTTAGGCTATATTTTATTCAGAATAAGCAAATATTAAATGTTGCTATCAATAACGTTTTATAATCTGTTACTCTGAGGTATCACGGTAACGTTTCTTTAGAATTCTAGTGATTTTTATTAAATTATTTTTCTTGTCAAAAATTATTAAGTCTATAGTCTACCCCGTAGGATATTAACTATATTTGCCTCTGCCTCCAACACTTTTGTTTCTAATTTTCCTATGTTTACAAAAAGAGGATGAATTCTCAAATCTCAACCTTGAGTCTATGAATGATCCTTTAATTGGCCTCTGCCTTTGCCTCCAACATTATTATGAGTAACGTAATTAGCTGTAACACATGTCAGAGTGACAAATTATAAAACGTTACTGATAGTAATATTTATATCTATTTACTCCGTCAGATCTTTGTCTTTTTTTTTATTGAATTCTTTTGAATGAAATAAAGCCAAAACATTATTAAGAAATATGTTTATTCTAATTTTGTAAAATTTCAGAAAAATATATTATTTTGATAAACTGTTTTAAATAATGGCTTATTTCGGTCAAAATTTCTTTAAAAACAAACAACTTTCAACTTTCTTTTGTAGGACTTATAGTTGAAGAAAGAAGTATGGCAGATCACTCCATTGAGATTACCCCAATAGATGACCAAATTCCACTACTTCCTCAAACTAAAAAAGATGAGGTCTCTCTCAACTATATAAAAAAAAAATTCTAATTTCATTAACACACTTTTCTTTTGGCAATTAAATGTATAATCTTTTTCTATATATGTGCATGAATTTCAAGAGATTTGGAGGGGTAATGTATAAGGTGAGGTAATTTTTTAAAGTCACGTGACATTTTTGAAATTAAAAAATTAGTTTTATATTTTTTTTAATTCATTCTATTAACAAAAGGGGTAAATATGCATCATTTATAAAACAATGAAGGTATATATGCATTACTTTATTTTTTACGAAATATATGTTTGATCTAGACCGCAAAGTATACTTGCCTCTTCTCTGTTACAGATAGAAGAAGGGAGAAAAGTGGATCATTTAATCGACATAAATGAAAGAATTGATGAAATGTTTGAGGATTTAGACAATTCATCTATTAAATCGCGTACGATATTCAAAGTAAATGTGTGGCAACGTGAATCAAATCCAGATGCTTATACACCAAAGATGGTCTCCATTGGTCCTTATCATAAGAAGAATACTCAACTTGGTCCAATGAAAAAGTACAAACTATTATACCGACGACGGTTTCTTCAACGAAATAAGAGACTTGATGTGAAAAGTTACATCAGTGAATTGGAGAAAGTGAAGGAGAAAGTATTGAAGTGTTACGAAGATATAGAAAAGTTTGGTAACGATAGTCATGAATTTTGCGAAATGTTGTTGTTTGATGGTTGTTTTGTGGTTGAGTTTATTCGAGAGTGTTGTGGAATATATCCAAAAGGAGAAGACAAGATTATTAATATTAATGATAGTTACATATTCCGAGACTTGATGTTACTAGAAAATCAACTTCCTTTCTTTGTACTCAACAAGCTTCATTTCATGACAAAGCAAGTTGATGAATTTTCATTGGCAATATTGGCGGATAAGTTGTTTACCTTGCAAGAAATGAGCCCCAATTACTCCTTTACAGAGAGAGAATATTGTAATGAAGGAAATATCAAACATTTACTTCATGCAGCACACATATTTTCATGTCATGGCCTGAATCCCATGAAAAACTCAAAAAATGACAAAACGAGTCCTACGGTCATGCCAAATGCAACCGAGCTTTCCGAAGCTGGAGTTAGCTATGCAAAGGTAAAAAATATGACAAGTTTATTTGATATAAAGTTCGAGAATGGATTGATGACAATCCCTTATTTTCAGGTCGTAGATGGTTCAGAAACTCTCCTGCGAAATCTCATTGCTTATGAGCAACAATCATCTGATGTAGATCCTACATATTTTAGCGATTATGCAACTTTCATGGATCACCTTATCAACTCAGAAAAAGATGTGAATTTGCTTTGCCAGAAAGGAATCATAGAGAACTGGATAGGAGAGGACAAAGAAGTTGCTAGCCTCTTCAACAAAATTGGAAAAGGGGTCACTACGTATTCCAACTTCTATTACAAAGAAGAAATCAAAAAAACAATTGAATATCGTGAAAAACCATGGAATAGAATGAAGGCAAATTTAATGCACAATTATTTTAGCAGTCCTTGGGTAGGAGCTTCAACTGTGGCAGCCATTATACTCCTAATACTCACAACTATACAAACTATTTTAACTTTCACAGGTCCTCTTAAGAAATAAGTACTAGTAATTATCTCAATTGTAGTGTTGATGATCTTATTATGAGTTCTTCATTAATTCTATGTCCCCTTTTGTATTGGGTTTTCTAGTTGAATGTTAAGCAGTTTATTTCAAGTATCTATATTTGTCACTTCCACCATCAAAAGGCAATAGCTAGCTTTCATAAATAAGAAACTCACTTATTTTTCAGAAAAAATATCATCTCTTATCGTATCAAACACACCCTAAAAGTGTTTTACTTCAACTAAACTTGATATCAAATTTTACAAAAATCAAATGTAGATGCTTATACGCCAATGTCCTTACCATAAAGGGACTCATGAACTTAGTTCGATGGAGAAGTAAAAATTGTTGTACCTACAACAATTTCTCCAGCGAAAAGAGGGGCTAGCTTGATGTGGAAACTTGCATTAGTGCATTCAGGGGTGGAGGCAGCCTTCTAACAGGGGTTCATCCGAACCCTTCTCGGCGGAAAATATTACTATTTATACATGGTTAATATTATTTTTTATGTATATATAGTAGTCGTCGAACCCTCTTCAGCTAGTTTGTGTGTTTAGTCCTTCAGATTTTGAACCCCCTTATTAAAAATCCTAGCTCCGCCCCTGAGTGCATTGGAGAAAAAGAAAGATGAAATAATACTAAAGTGTTATGATAATAACTTAGAAAATGATATTGTTGGCAAATTTTCAAAAATGTTGTTGATTGATGGTTGTTTTGTGGTTGAATTTATTCGAGAGTAATTTGTGTAATCAATCTAATCCACATCACTTCAAAGGCGTAAATTTATTGAACAAAAAAAAAATCTAATTTTATTAAAAATGAATAATTTGATAAATTATATGTTATAGTTATTATTTTTCTTAATAAACACAAAAACTTAAAAATTACTTAATGAACATTATTGATTGACTTTTTCGATACATGTTCTCGTCATTATGGAAAATCCAATAGGAAAAGAATTTGGGCCAGAAAACTTTTGAGTAGTACTTGAAATTTCCTAGCCTAGTCCAAATTTGGACGAAATCGGAGTCAGGCAAGTCTAGGGAAATCTGGTAATGAATGAGAAGTGTAATAATGAAATTGATTGCATGAGTAGATAGCTAAGACGTTAAGGAACCCATACGACTTTACGGAATCGAATTCGGGCGAGTAGAACTCCCGAAACTGATCTTAGCTTGAACGGTAGTTTTTGAATGTCATGGGTTGAAGGTGTGTTGTGAAATGGGGGTTTAAAACTCTAATTTAGACTCTCTGTTTCTGTGCAAGCCACTAGGGTGGGGCAGCTGTGGCGGGTTGGGTCCCGCTATGGTGGGCCAGTCGCAACTTAAGTCAGAAATAAACCCCAAAAACGTTATTATTCTGCAATTTTCGTTCTTGAGAGCTAGGAGACGAACCTGGGCGAGTTCTTGACAGTTTTCCACCTCTTCTAGCACTAAATGTAAGGTTCTTACTCCTCTAATCCTTTTTCAATCTGTAGAACTTAGATTCTTGGTTAATTACTATTGGGGGAGGGTTTTTGGACTGAATTGCATGGTGAGAAAAAGCCCCAGTTGCACCTTAGGATCATGGGTTTGGTCTTAGGTTATTGAATTTGTTATAATCCAGATTGTAACACCCCAGAAAAATTTTCGAACTAAGACTCAAACCGTTCTTCGTAGTGAGTGAGATTTTACCAAGAAATTAAAAATTTCTTATGTGTTAAGGTCACTAGATGTAGCACCTTGAGTCCCAAAAAGATTAAATTGGAAATAGCAAAATCTGAAATTTTGCTAGTTAAGCTAAGTATGAGTTTTGGGAAGACTTCAAACTACCATAACTTCCATCTCAGGATGATTTAGGTGTGCTACCAGATACCGTAGGAAAGACCTTTGAATTATATTTCCAACGCCACCGAGTTTTCTAAGTTTCGAGGTCGGATGAGTGAGATATGGCCTTTTGAAATTAGGTTGTCCAGTTAAGGAAAGTCAAAATCGGATTTTAGAGGGGTATTTTGGTCTTTTCCTTACCCAATCAGATTTAATTCGTTTTTAGTAATATTTTAGGGGTCTAATCTGATTAGGTTCAGTTTTATAATCCTAGTTTACACCTAGGGTTTTAGTTGAGAGAAAAGCAGAAGAGGAAAGAGGAGAAAAGAAGAAAGGATGAAGGCGTTCGTTGACGTTCTTGAGTTTAGTTGCGGATTTTCGCCATGGGTTTGATTCCTAAGAGGTATAAAGCTTCCATAGTGTTGGGTTAGTTCACCCACACGCCAAACATGTTATTTTCAGCGTAATTTCATTCTCAAAAGTTGAAGGATTTAAGTTCTTGAAGTTCATTATAAATCTTCTTTTGTTGGGGTTTTGAAGATTTCTTGAGATGAAAGTGATTATTTTGAGTGTTGTTTTGAGTGGATTAGTGTGTACTTAGGTTGGGTAATTGAATCTAAGAAAAACTTAAGAAAAGAAATGGATTAAAAATGATTTAGGGTCAGAAAACGAGAGGCGAAATTCGTTGATACTTTGCCTGGGGAGATGCTGGCGCGGCGCTCCCCAAATGCACCCAAGGGGAAGGGGCAGAACGCTTGCAGTGCGCCCATATGCAGTCTCTAAAGTTAGGGGCTGGCGCCCCGTGCCCGGAACGCGCCAAGGTCGCCTGCCCCCACTCATTCTCCGTCGGTTGTCCCGTTTGAGCTCCTTTGAAGTGTATCTTCACCCCTTTTGATTCTAAACACTTCAAAGTACCTCCAAACACTTAGAAATCATTCATAACATGGTCATAAACTTGAATTCATAATACAAATTCAAAGTAAAGTTAAGAGTTAAGTCTTGAGAGTTTTTCCGATCAATTTGAGAAAGCCCCTTTGAGTCCTTTTGAGGAGTCTTCTACAACTTCTAGTAACTTGTTTCAAGACTCGAGCAAGTGAGTATGAGAATGATGAGAATGTATTCATGCTTCTACTTTTTCATCACGAGATCCTTCATATCATAAAACATAACTCTTGAATTCATAATTCACATTCAAAAGAGAGTTAAGAGTAAAGTTCAAGAAAGCCTTTGAGTTCAATTGTGGATCCTTTGAGGTCAACTATCAAGTTGACTAAGTTTTGAGGAAGTAAGTCAGAGAATAAGAAGAGTCGTATACATGAGTTTCATATAGTTATGTAGACCATCGAGTCGAGTTGTTTCATGCCCATAATTTCGCATGAACTTCGTAAGTTGAGCATCTTTCAGAGAAGTGGTATCTTCAAGTTCTAAGCCTTTAAGTGTTTAGTTCCTAAATCCCTTTTGAGAAGCATTTTTGAGTACTTGAGTTGAATATTTCATGCCCATAATTCCGCATGAACACTATAAGTCGAAAAATCTTGAGATGAGTTATATCATTGAAGTTCTTGAGTTCCAAGTATTGAACTCTATCTATGGTTATTGAAAACCTTGCATTGAGTCGTTCATGCCCATAATTTGGCATGAACCATATCTTAATAAGTCTTTTACAAATTTTTAAACTTTGTTTTAAGACTTAAAGCTTTGAGTTTAGTAAAGAGTAAAGAGTAAAGTTTGAAGTCCTTTTCTTCAAAAGTATATGGGTACTAAATATTCCCAAAGAGTTTATAAATATTTTCACATTTGATAAGAATGGAAACTGAGTTTCCAAAGAGCTTTTGAGCTAGTTCTCAGAAAAGAGAAATCGCTTTCTAAATAAAGCAAGAGAGGAAACTGAGATTTCCAAAATAGCCTTTGGGCTATGTTTTGAGCACTAATCTCAAATGACATAGGAAGTATGTTTTTTTTAAAACATAAGAGCTAGTATATTTTAGGAGTAGTATTGAGCACCGATATGGGGGAGAGTTCAAACAACTCACAGCCCCCATAAACCATGTAGCCATAATGGGTAGAAAAGGGTCATAGTTTTTAGATGAACCCTTTTCACTTAGACTAGTGGATCCATTAGTAGTTCAGGTCCTATACCTTTGGCCGGGTATAGGATGCGCTGGCAGCGTGAGGTAGATCGCTGTATCATCACTATAGCTCTTATGTGATGGTTGTCGGTTAGAGAAACTCCCACAGAAGTTATTGTATTTTTATATACATCAGTTTATTTGTATTTTTACGTACATTTCAGAGTTATGTTGTATCCTTGCATACACACCGAGTTGAAATCATGTTTTTAAACAGTTTGTTTCTTTATATTGCACTTGTTTTAAACTGCTTTATAATGAAATGAGTTCAATTAAGTATTCATGAGTTGAGTATTTCAAGTCGAGTATCATATCTTTGAAGTTGAGTATCTAATCCTTGAGTTGAGTATCTAATCTCTGAGTTGAGTATCTTATCCTTGAGTACTTCTGAGTTGAGTAAGTTTGAGTAGTTTTGAGTATTCCTTGAGTTGAGTAAGTTTGAGAAGAGGTAA